GGGGGGGGGGGGGGGGGGGGGGGGGGGGGGAAGGGTCGGCCATGAGGCCAGGGTGTGAACGTGGAGAAATGAGGGCCACGAGGAGCAAGCCCTCCACCCAGCCACCTGAGTCCATGGTCCCTGCCCGGCATGCCTGGGCCCAGGGGTGCCCGGCTCAGGCCCTCTCAGCCAGTCCCTTCCCCCCTGGGGCCTTGAGAACCCATTGGGGGAGGGGACAGAGACCTGTGATGCGAAGCTGGATCTTCAGAGAGTCACGGCCTGGCCTGGCACCACAGCTGTAGGTGCCAGCGTCCTCTGCCCTCAGGGGGCTGATGACCAGGGAACCATCAGGCTGCAGCCTGTGTCTGAGTGAGTGGAATGGGGGCTTGAGCTCTGGGCTCCTGAGGGCAGCAACGAGCCCGACGCCCCTCAGGCCTCAGTGCTCCAACCGGAGGGGACCGTAGCCCCCGCTCACCCCCATCCCAGGGGAATCCGAGGGGCTGCCCCTGGGGAGGATCCCGCACACACCTGTCAGAGGAGAGGGGCTGCCCGTCCTTCTGCCACCTGGTAGGGGGGTCCATGGAGGCGACACCCGGGCAGAAGAGCCGCACCACCTGCCCCAGGGGCGCCTGCACCAGAAAGGGCTCCGCGCCGGCCAGGCTCACCCTGGAAAGGTGGGCGGAGAGGACCTGCCCTACTGGCACACGTGCCACGACCAGGGGCCCCTTCGTCAGTGTGGCCCATCCCGTCAGGGGCACGTGCGGGGCCAGCGGGCGTCCTGGGAGGCCAAGCTCCAGAAGCCCATGGACCCGGGAATCTGCCCTCCCATCCTCCCCCCGAGCCCAAGCACTGCCCCTCGGCCTGGCCCTGACAGCAGCAGGGGCGGCTCGAAGCCCAGGCGTGGAGAGGGCGGGAGGCCGCCAGGCCAGAGTCCCGTGAGGACCAACACGCTCCTGCTGCATTTTGTTTTTAATCTTCCCAAATCTCTCATTACTATGACACAGTCCCAAGAGCAGTGAATAAGTGGAGCCCACCCTAACTGTGAGCCAGTGTCACCATTTCACAGGCAAGTCATGAAGCCCAACTGGACAGACCCTGGGGACACTGGCAAGGTCCGCTGGCGAATCCGGGCACCGCCAGCTCCTGGCTGCCTGCGCCTCCCCAGGTGTCGAGGCCTCCAGGCGGGATGGGGAGGGAGGGCCGGCTGACCTCGGGGTTTTAGATCCAACGGCTCGGCCCCTGGCCCGGGTCCCTCTCCCCCTCCCTGGGAAAGGCTATGCTCACCTGGAGGAGGAGCTGTGGGAGGGGGGTGCTGGCCGCCCAGCATCTCCGCCCAGGTCAGGGGTGCTGGACCCCAGCTCCGGGCCCCAGGGCCGTTCTCCTGAGGTCTGGGGGTGGTGCCCGGCCCC